CATGTGTCTTATTGTTCTGTTGCACTTGCTCAGGGAGCAATTCTTCTCAACCTAAAATCAGCTGGCATGCTTCCCAGAATACTTGTTTCTGCCCCGTTTAACAACAGTTTATAGGTTGCTGGCAGAGTAGAACAAAGACTGCTTTCCTCTGTTCGTGCCTCATGACACTGCTTTTGCCTTTCTAACTTCCTCCCCTCCTCTGTGTTCAAGTAACAGGATTTGGTTTTATGCTTTTAATACTACCACCTATGGCTTCGTTAACAGCTGTGTCTCTTCCCAGCAATACTAATGAAAAACATCTTCAAAAACCAAATTTGGAAGATATATATGAAATAATCTAAGCACATTTATCTTTTGTCATTGGAGTTCTTTCTGTTTAATTAATTAACATACTTTCCACTCTAAATCCAAATGCTGAGGTTATTAATATGCATTTATCTGTGGAGTGCCAGTTGTGTCTATAGTGCTTCATAAATTATGGTTAATAGCCCAGTGAAGTTCAGATTTTAAGCCACGTCTCACTGCAGATGTTTTATTTTGGTGGCTTGGTAACCAGTTATGTTTATTTTGTCAGTAAGCTATGTGGGGTAACAGCAGTGATTTACGTTCTGTAGCTTGGATGCTTTTCCCAGAGACTTCAGGACATTTTATTTCCCATTAATTTAGTGTGTGAGGTGGTATGGTTAGACTTCTGTCTGGCTTTTGGTTCTAAACTAGTAGTGTTTAAAATATTTAGGGATTTTTCTCCTAGAATGAAAAGTTTAATGAAAATGTATGCTTTGGTGCTAACTACGGTGGTATAAAATTGACTGTAAGAGAGAGGGTGAGGAGAAACAAGCAAAAACTTAAGTAAGACACTGCAGAAATTTACTGAAGACATTTTAAGACAGAAATTTACTGTCTTAAATTATCTGATATCAATTTATAGTGATGTGGAGTTGAAAGTGCTGTATGTTAGAAAAAGAACTGGTCACAAGGGGTTAGTTTGCTTGTCATAAATTCTTTATGTTTTCATGCTGAGAAGGCTCAAGGACATGAAACTCTGGTTACCCTGAAGTAACTTGATGAGTGTATACACAGTTAAGAGATCTTAATCTGACTTAAGAATCTTAATGAGTGGAATAGATCTTTTGCATGCTTTACTCAGACTAATAAGCGCCTGATAATGTGAAGTGTTCCCTCAGGTTGGCCTAGACACAGACAGTAAGAAAGCTACTAAATCATGTGGAATTTTGGCAGTCAACTACTGTAGCTGGCTTCCGTTTCAGAGGCACAGTGTTTCATGGTAGCTCGCATATAGATGGATGGCTCATGCTGGGGTCCTGCACAGGTATCTGCTGTCTAACCCAGTGGCCTTAGCAGGCACATCCTCATGTAGGTGGACATAAGTAAGTTCCTTTGCATTAGACACAAACCCTAGGGATGTTAAACTCATGAAAAACATTAAAGTAACAATTTATTCCTTGGATTACAACCAAAGAACAATTCCTGAAAGAGGGGTTAAATGTAGACCAAATGCAAAGATTAGCAAAGTGCAGGGAAACCCCCTCTTTCAGTAATTGCAGTGGGGTTCTGCTGTGCAACCTGTACTTGAACACACATTTGACATGCATTTATTGTTATATGGGACCTTTCTTAGATAACAATTAAAAACCCTTAATGTGAGACAATGTGCAAAATGTATTTTTGTTTACCAACACAGATGTGAGATAGCAGCGTCTTTGTTTATAGGGGTGACATCTCATCTTACATGCTCTTTTTCTTTAATGAAGTATGACATCATGTAACCTTATATTCTGTTTTAAAGGTGGAAGGGGCCAGATAAAACAGAAAAAGAAGACTGTACCACAGAAAGTTACGATAGCTAAAATTCCTAGAGCAAAGAAAAAATATGTCACAAGAGTATGTGGCCTTGCAACGTTTGGTGAGTTGACTTTTGCAGTGTGGTATTTCTTGGGTTTAGATGTGCTTGCCTTTAACATCATCATGGTATTTCTTCTGGTTGTATTGCGTTAGGTGATCCACTTCCACCTGAGTCCCGGGGTACTTTTAACAGTTCTAAAAGTACAGTGACTTTTCTTAGGGATAAATTATTAACGTCCATATTTCCGTGGTGTTTTCAAACAAATAGGTTTACAGGGTTTTTCGCACATTTTGATGTTTAACAGGACAGCCACTTGGTTTTTATAACAGCATCTTACTTCACACATTGATGACAAATTCTGTTAAAAAGGTAGGTTTTAACCTTGGTTTTATTAGCAACACACATTGCATATTTCCTGCATGAGAGTAACAGTCTGTTTTCTTGAGGGATCAGTAACACACACTGGCTTGGTGTGAACTGGGAATGAATCTTTGTGCTTGGAAGCCAGTCTCAGAAATCATTAGGGTTTCTGAAAAGAACATAGTGAAGCACTTCTGGGGAAAAACTTGTTCAATAATTATGAGGTTATTCAGAACTGGAGGTGCTTTTTAAATGGTTCTTTGCCTTTCTAGAGAGCGCACACAGCCTTGAAGTGCCTCAACAGAATGTGCAGAGGACGTTCAGTGATTTTTACCTTGAATAGTTTACTAGATTTGTGGAGTCAGTTGTTTGTATGTCAACAACAGACTTTAGCTTTCAGTGGAAGCTGTAGCAAAGCTTTAGCTGGAAATTGCCACCGGTTTTTCAACAGTTAAAACAAGGTTTTGGTTTTAAACTTGAGAAAAATACCTTTATGGCAATGTCTGTACTGAAACTGCCCATTTTCCCATCAACAGAAATTGATCTTAAGGAAGCACAAAGGTTTTTTGCTCAGAAATTTTCCTGCGGTGCCTCAGTAACAGGAGAAGACGAGATCATCATTCAGGGCGATTTTACAGATGACATTATTGATGTAATCCAGGAGAAGTGGCCTGAGGTAACAAACCCTTTCTTCTGTCAGAACTCCAGTTTTCCACAATAGCCTGTGCCTTTCCAACGATTTTGAAAAAGGGTTTATTCTTTGGCAGCACAGATTGGTGTGCATAATTCAAAGAGCAGTTGTTGCCTTCCCACCTGTGAATTGTTATGTTAAGGAGTGATTAAACTTGAAGTCAAATGTTGTTTCCTTTGTCCAAGGAATGGCAGATCCCTCTGCGTGTAGTGCTGTTACTGTAGATAGGACAGTGAGAAAGGTATGTCAGAGTAAGTCCAGCTGTCAGATATCTGTGGCTTCTTTGTGACTGTTCCTTAATGGTCAGTGCCTGAGTATTCTTACATTGCCACCCTATTTTTAAAAGTCTCTTAAAATAGTCCAGAATTAAACCAACCAAACAAACCCCCACACACTTGTGCTTCAGCAGGAGAGATTAATTCGGGGTTGGACTAAAATGTTGATGGTTGAGACGTTTGGTTGTGCTGCTGCAATCACAAGTGTGTGCTTTGACCCTCCCTTGTGCTGTTTCCTGAGTGGAGGAGTTCTTTCTGAAATAACTGTCTAGGCCTGTCCTTATTCAGAGCTCCAGAGGCTCAGCTGTGTCCTATAAGCATGTCCCTCATGTAGAATTTACAGCAGGGAATCTCGGATGGTGCTGTATGCTTCTCCCACACTTCATGTACAGTGGTGAATATGAAGTGAGACATCTAAGAAGAAAATAGACGTAATATGCTGTGTTTTGGCCTTTTTTGTCCTTAGGTGGATGATGATAGCATTGAAGATCTCGGAGAAGTCAAGAAGTGATAGTGGAAGACTACCTTTATTTAATTATATGGTTAATAAATGATGTAGCCAAAGTGAGGCTTCTAAATCCCTCTGCTCTGCAGTGAAGCTGTGGAGAACCCATATCCTTGGCATTTTCACTGTTTCTGTATAGGCTGCTTGGTTATTTTTGTTGTGATACTTGCCAAAGTTCAATTGGGGTTTTATCATGCTTACGCATGAAGTAGATCTAAATAAAATTACTGTTCCTCACGGAATGTGGTTTATGTTTTCTTTACAGCTGCTTTCCTCTAGCAGTCTTGCAGGAAAACAATAACCTAAGTCATTAGAAGGTTATTTCCATCTGCTGCCCTTTCTGCTGAACTCAAGTGAATAAGGCCTGTGGTAACCTACAGACCCATACTTCTGATTTACCTGCATAAAACCTTAGAAATTGGAATGGGACAAATGTTCTAAAGGTGTGTAAGCACTTAAAGGAAAATAACTCTTGAAGTGGTCAGGTAGCTGGACCAGATCATTGTAGGTCTCTGCCAGCTGAAGTATTCTGTTAAGTGAAAACACTGAGGAAAATGCAAATACATCTGGAACATTCAAGCTGTTGTCATAATTCCAGATGATTTCCTAACCCCACTGGTCTTGAAGGTGAGGGAATTTTAGGGGCCTTATGTTTTTAGCATACAGCTAGTTCCAGAGCAGTGACTGCTGTTGGTTTCCAAAAGCCTTGCTCACGCAGGAGGTGAGATGGGGTGCTGGTTGTACCTCTGCTCTCCAGCTGTACAGCTCCACTCTCCCTACTCCCACCAAAGGCCTTGGGCATGGATTTGGAGCTTTCTCTTTCACTGCTCTATTTAATAATGTTAAATGTGCCCTGGCGGCAGAGGCCTGGAATAGACATGCTCTTGTTGCAGTCAAAACTGGATGAGTTGAAACCCAGGAGGATGGTATGTTGTACACACTTCCTTGTCGTGATTCTTGTTTATAAACCGATTGGTTGAGTTGAGAATGGGGTGTCCAAACAGTGTATCTCTGTAGCTGTTAACGTGTGAATCCAGCAGTTCTCGCTGCTCTCCTGTTAACGCTGTTACCGAGCCTTGTAACTTCGTCTCCCCAGGCGGGACTCGAACCCGCGGCTTCACCACTGCGGCGGTGGGCGGGGCTTCTGCCTAACCGCTGCCCGAGCAGGCCACTCAACGGCTGGAGGGGGCGGGACGTCGCCGTGACGTCAGGGCGAGGGCGCCGGTGGGTTTGATGGGGGGCGCGGAGTAACGGGCGGGAGCGGCGGGGCCGAGGGAGGGGGCGGGACCCTGGCTGTCCCGGTGGGGACGTGGGGGACCTGCGGCCTGCCCCGGGGAAGCAGGGTCCCGTTGCTCCAAGCTGGGGATGCCCCAGGGCCCCTCCACAGGCCTAGGCCCCTGTGAGAAGCCGCGGGGCCGGGCCCCCGCCTCGGTCGGTTCTCAACGGCTTGTGTCTGTTATTCCTGCAGCAGCCTCGGCGGGTGACCATGTCGGTAGATCGGAGGAGGCCTCCATGCCGAGCGTGGCAGTCATCAGTAGTTGCCAGTGTCCACTGATGCCTGGTAGCGCTCGGGCCCACGGTCCCCTATGAATCCATCAGTGCCACGTTCTGCTCCGCCCCAGGTAAACAATGAAAGTGCAGTTAAAACCAGAGTGCTCTGTTTTTAGTGTGACATTACTCATTGTACCGCTGACAGTTTCGGTTAAGGACCGCAGGTGGTACCACAAGCATGAGGAACTCACTGAAACAGTCTCTGTTTATTATATAAAAATAGCTTAAATTAAAACCTCGAGTTTATAACCAGAGACTTTTTCCCTTCTCCTTCACATCAAAACGTGTTCTGTGTGTTATCCTGTATAGAAAAGTAACCCAAGCCTTGAGAACAGCACCATTGAGAAACAGAGGCAAGAGCTGCAGCTTTTAATTGCAGAACTGAAAGACCGTGATAAGGAACTCGATGACATGGTTGCAGTGCATCAGAGACAGCTTCTAGTCTGGGAAGATGATCGGCAGAAAATACTGACTTTAGCAGAGCGGTGCAACTTACTAAGCAGTAAGTGTTGTGTATATAAAGAATAAGACCCTTTTAAGCATGGTCTGGTAGTTAGACCCCGCAATAACAGTTCTGCATCATGTAAGGAACTATTTCCTACCCTTCGGCCTTAAATGTGGTTGTTTTCATTCTGAAATCAAGACTTCCATGATGGTACTAAAGTGATCTGATCTTGAAGGAGGTCTCATAATTCTCATTTGAGTCTGTAGAATTGACTCTGTGGATTCTTAAAAAAGATAATCTGGTGAAATAAATGTGGGGAGAGAGAACAATTTGCAAACATGCTGTTGAACTGCAGAGCCCTGTGCCCTGAGGTGCTGCTGCACACCTCTGACATCAACTACCAGCCACCCAGCTAATCACCTGCCAGCTCTCAACAGTCTTGTTTGACAGCCATAGTACAGAGGTCAGCACAGAGTTCACCATCCAACCTGGGTAGGCAGGGAATCCTGCTTCAGTGGATCCATTTCCAAATCGTGTGATTTTAAAACACTGCGTTAAATTATTTCTGACAACAGTGTTTTCTCACAGATCCCTTGTGTCCGTCCTTTTCAGATGAGCTGAACAAGAGAAATGAGATCATCAAATCACTGACCAGAAGGTTAAAGTTCTTAGAATCTCAGCAGAGTGACAGTAAGACAACACTTGAAAGCACACAGCAGAAGTTCAGAGAGCTGTCACAGAAAGTGACAGATGCAACTGCTCACTGTCAGGCTCTGGAGGTAGGAGTTAAGTAATGGTCTGATTTTGCAGACTCTGCATGTACAGAATGCCAGTGGCATTTGTGAGTTTCACTAGTGAATAGGTAGTTCATATTAAGGCTCCTGAGTTGCATTTGTCTATTAGTACAATAATGTTAGGTTAAGGTATAACTCTGATTTTTTGGGGGAAATACAGGAGGGGAGCTTTCCTAAGCTATGATTTGGAGTTTGCTGTTTGTTTGCTTAGTTTGGGGGAGCACTGTTCAGAACCAGCTTGCTTCCAAGAATGTCTGTAACTGTAATTGCAAAAGGCAGTGCTGTCCCCAGAACAGTGCTGGTACTTGGTTAGGAAGCTTTAGAAGGTTTTACTTACAGCTTTGATTACTCTGATGAACTACAGCATTCTGAAAATGGTTTAGGATGTGAAAATAATGGGTATTCAAGGGTTCTGGGGTTTATTAAGTGATTTGGCAGTGATGTGTTTATTTGGATTATTTTTCCCCTGTATGCAGTAAAATATTATCCTGCATTTTCATCTGCCTTATTGGCTTGACCTAAGACATGCAGGATATTAAGACCAAATCAAGGGTTTTGTTATAAGGAACTGGGGAACAACTGTTTTCTCGAGTTCTCTTTTCTCCACATCCTCACAGTTTGCCCAGAATCCCACATTCATGATGTTTAAATAAAGTTGTGCCCACATTTTCTGGACAAATAGTAACTGAATCACTGAAGCAGTAGCTGACACTCTTATTTCTGTTCACTAGGAGAAAAATCAAGGTCTTCACTGCTCAGTTTTGGAACTCTCTGCTAAAACAGGCCAGCTACAAGCGAGAGAACAGGAGCTACTTACTATGCTTAAGCTGAAGGTAACATCTGTCATCTCCTCAGGTACTGAATGTGGTCTAACTGCAGTGCAGTTACCAATGACTGTACCACAGTGGCTTAGTCGCCCACTGCTGTTAAATTCATAGGCTTGTTTGCGAAGGAAAACTTGGTCAGCAAAGAATAAACTGCTTTATTTTCAGAAACAAGCTTGTTTCCTGGCTTTGATTTTGTTTTTTTTTCCTCTAGAGCTCAAAAGTAGCTATAACTAGTGCAGTAAGATGTACTCTTGTCAAAATCCATATGTAAAACAATGAAGAATACATTCTATTTTGTGTCTCAGGATGAGGCTATACTTGAAACAACTGATCACATCACTGACTTTACATCTAAGTTCAAAAAGGTGGAGAGTGCATTGCGTGCAGCGAGGATGGAGCGATTCAGTCTCAACAAAGACAAGCAAGACCTCAAACTGAGACTAAAAGAGCTAGTACTTGAAACAAATAAGCTGAAAGGTAAATGTTCATACTGGGCGCCTCATTTAGTGTAGACCAGCGTGATTCCTTTTCATTCTGCGGAATACTGCATTTTGTTTTAAAGATGACCTCTGTGAAAAGGTGGAAGAAAATCAGAAGCAGCAGGAGGAAATAATTCACCTCAAACAGGAAAACGGCTGCTTGAGGAACGAGCTCGCACTTGCTGGTAAGTGAGGGCAGTTGGCTTTTCATGCCTTAGCTTTTAATAGCACAGAGACTTCTAGACAACGGTTCACCACTGTCTGTGAAGGAGGCAGCTTCTTATCTCCCTTTCTTGCAGTTTAATACATATGGCTTTGTGTGCCATTGCTCTACGAAAGCAGTATCTAGGGCTTCTGCAGGGACATTTATAAAAGCACAAAGTTCACCAGTGTGATTACACGCAGAGGAATAAATGGCTCAGAGGATTCTCTCTTGAAATTGTTGAGATTTTCATGTCTCCTGTGGTATTAATACAATAAGTGGGGGTGGCATTCTCCCTTCTGATGTAGACTGCGTAGAAAATAGTGACCTACTGAATAGAAGCCGCATACAAAACCTAAAGCTTAGGCCCTATGAAATTACCAGCCCACTCACTCCCTCTGGTTTTTGTATGGAAGCAGTATGTTTACCAGTTCTCTTTTTTCCTTGCTTTTCTTCAAGTGCTGGGTTTGATTTCGACTGGTTTAATATGCAGGACTTGGTAAAGTGCAGCCTGCTGTCTGGTGATAATCTTTGCTTTAGTTTTGGGTAAGAGAGGAACTCCTCTGTGCTGCAGTGGATAAGAAAGGCAGGCTGGTGGTTGCTGCAGTGTTATTACAGACACGAAATATATACCCTGAAAGATAGGTGACCAAGGATGTCCTCTGCTGGGTATGATTTACTTGCCTATGACTTCTTATCTGCCATTACCTTTGCCAAATATTGATCCCATGTCTCATTATTTTAGAAACAATAGTAATGGGAAGTATTTCTCAGCACTTTTCTGTACAAGGCATGAATTAGAATTAATTAGTGAATTGCCTTTCCGTGAAAGATTGGGAACGTGAAAAAGTAAAATCAGTCAATCAGAATATTGCTGCTGGTAAAATAAAATGAGGTGCTGTGGAAAGTCTGAGGAAAAGACTTAATCTGTTTAGTTGTCTTATGGCTTTTGTGCTCTTTGTCTCGAGGGGAAACAGATCCCACTGATCTTACGAAAATGCTTTTGTTTTGCTTAGGTACCTGTTTCTACTGCTTCAGACATGCATTAACAAATGTATTTGCCTTGTGTCTATTCACTTTTAAGTAATGAGAAAAGTATCTGTGTTTTGAAACAGTTGAGAAAGCAAAGAGACAGGATCAACTTCTGCAGTTTGCAAAGTCAAAACAAGCGCGGACTGACACAGAGCTATCAGGTTTGCGAAAGGTACAGCTCCTGCTCTGAGACTGTGAAGGCATTTTTCAATACATCAGATCTGCATGGAACAGTAATAAAAAGTTAGATCTAGCTATGATTAATGAAGGAAAAGAAATCAAATTTGCTGTTTCTGCCTTGCTGGGGTGGCTTTGGAACATTATTTTTCCTTTATGGTTAGAATTAAAACCCCCATGCATGGTACAAATCCTTTTATTTACACGTTCTTTTAGCTGGTTTTGTATAATTGTATTTACTCAGTCCTATGATGAGTAAATACCACCCTCGTAGCAGTAAAGTGGGGGCACCCTGTTGAGATAAGTTTGTCGGTGCGTGTGTCTAAACAGAGAGTGCTAGGCTCGAGAAGTCACATGAAGGGCAGTGGGAGTGGGGTGTACTGCCTGACACACATGCTCAAGGTGAACTCGGGCAGTGTAAAGGGGCATGGGGTACTGAAAGAGCTGTGTTTCAGCAGAGACTTAAGCCCAGTGTTTTCACCTGCACCCGTCTGAGGTTCTCAAGGCATGTTCAATTCTTCTTTTATTGCAAATAATTGATGGGTATGTTATCATCTACATCAGCTCTGCAAAAACTTTCCTGTAGTGAATGCCAAATACCATGATCATCATTCATGTCCTGCAGTTCTACATAACTTTGAACAACGTAGCAACATGTATTAAATCTCACATATCAAATGGTCCTGTAGTTATGATTGTGTGGTTCCATCTTAAAAGAACACGGCAGTCTTCTAATAGGAATATTGTTTATTGCTGCAAAACTTTATTTTCCTAAATACATGTAGACATGGCCCCTTAGATTTGGAAGGCTTTGACAATAGTTTGACTGCAAGTATGGGTTTGTTAAAGTGTTTTCAGGATGTTTTTGGAAGATAGGCAATGTGTTAGTACCTGATGGCAATATTCCAGCACTCCAGACTTCTGCTAATGCACATTACTATCTTTAAACAGATCTATGTAAAACAGCAGCGTGACTTGCAGTTTCTTCATGTCAATTTGGAGAGCTCTCAGGAATTAAGGCAAAAGCATGAAAAGGCAGCACATGAAAGGAGGTAAAGTAGTTTTTTAATGCAGTTTATTCACAAAGAGACTTCACTGTTCAGCCACAACTAACACCCTGAAAGAGATGTGTGCTGTGTCAACACGGCTTTGCTAGACTCAAACACAGACTTCTGTCAAGTTCTGGCAGGATACAGCTGTCTGGGGTTGGTATATGAACTACCGCAGAGCCATGGCCACAGCCTCTGGTTAATGTCTAGCTTAACCTTGAGTACAGTTATGTATGCTCTTTAAATGCAGTATATCTCACTGTTTTCTTTGTCATGCCATTGTAGCGTAGGTATGGCATTCTCTGCCCCTGAAAGTAACAGCAAGACAGACACAGTTAGGACTGAGGGAACCCACGGGATATGCGAGGAGTGTGGAACTGCACAAGTTCCAAAAAGTGGGGTGAAACCCACCTCTGAGATGTGTGAAGTAGATAATGGACTGCTACAGAATGCATCAGACATGGAGGAAACTACCTCAGCATACTTAAACCAGTGTCCAAAAGTTGTGAAAGTCTTGGCTGACCTTACGGAAGAAGAAAAGCAGGATGTTGCATCAAGCTCTGGTGAGCCAGGCAGCCAAGTATTTTGTGAGGCAAACAACACGAGGCCATTGAGAAACAGGGAAATCTCTGAGAATGAGGTGGAAATCAGAGACCAGCAAACCTTTGAGTCATCTTCACCTGAACATGAGCATTGGCTTAATGTCAATTCTTGTGTACATTTGCAAAGTACTTTTGTCCAGAGCACCGTCACATTTGCCCAAACTGCTAATGAAAATGAAACCTGGGAAGAGAGAACTGGAATTCTGTTGGACCAAAAAAGCAGAGAGACTCCTGCTGCAGTGCATAGGTCTGAATCTGATTCCTGTAGTAGTAAGTTCTTCATCAAAAAAGATGCTTGGTGGAAGCCAGTATCGGATCCGGAATGGTTGAAGATTTTCAAACCCATAAAAGGAGATGGAAATGTATGGCATGGAAAAGATTGCAGCTGTCTCAGGACTGCACAAGAGATGAAATGTGCCTGCTCGAAAAGGTTATGTGCTTGTTAAATTTAAGAAATAGAGAGGTATAATCTACAGCTATGTAAAAACTTGGGTGTACAAGCTCTCAATAGTTCTGTTATCTCAAGTGATGGTTAAAGTAAATGCTGTTCTAAAATTAGGCTCCCAACCTTGAAAAGTAGTAAAAGTAAGTTAAAATAGCTCTTAAGGTATCATGGTTCTATTTTTATGCATTTATTTTTTTCTCAGCTCTTATCCCCAGGAGCTGTGTGGGTAGGAGAAGCTGCCATACCCCAGGACTTGCCAGATGAACTAATTGAGACAAATGCAGATTTAAAACATCTCAGGATTTCTTTGAAATCCCAGATGTTGCTTGTAAATCTGGTGGGTAAAATAGAGCTGGACTCTACAGTGATGTTCCTGTAAGGCAAGAAACAAACCTAGATTGTGTGTGATGCTTTAGTGACTGTGTTATTTCTGTTGAGAAGTCACACAGTGGCTGGGCAAGAATGTAGGACATGGTTCTTCCGCACAGGCTGCTCTCCTCACTCAGGGCAGGAAAACGAGATAGCAAGATTTAAAGGACAGCAATCTGTCTGCTCTCTAGTGAGTCCTTGTTCATGGGACTCTATCCCTGTGTTTATGTTGGGGGAGGAAAAAGGACATGTGTTTGGGGATGAGCAGAATGAGGCTTCTAATGCTGAAAAGTGCCAGAAAAATACTCAGGTGTCTTGGTATTGGAGGTACAAAAGCTGCTTTACATTTATAGAAGTGGTTTTGTGCCTGCACAGGCAAGGGCATTCAGAGCTGGGATTTTCTGTGGATTTATGCTGGTTCCTCTATTTCCTCTCGAAGACTTGACTGACTTAGAGCTCTGATTTAGAAGGATTCCTGAAGTTCAACAGAGATTTCATAGCTGCCTTTTAGACAGAGGAGTAGCAGCTTTTCAACTGGCAGTTGGCAAGTACAGTAAATGAACAGCTGTTCAAACCTGCTGAGAATTCCAGCCAGCAAGTCTGCCCAATGTCCAAACAAATTAATGCTATGGAATGGAGCTATCTGATGTACAGATGCTTTCATTCTGTGTTGCTTTTGAAACAAAACTATTACAGAAATTGTTACTGCAGTGGCACTGACCTGCTCAGAAACAAGGTGGATGGGCAGCCATTGAAAAAGAATGCTGTCCTGGCACATTCCCACACAGCTTAGCTGAGCTTCATGCTGTGTGTGGATTCCCTCTAGTTTCCACTGGCCATAAATCATTAATAAGACTCCATTCCTCATATGTCTACCCTGCCCTTTCTTACCTGCTCTCTCAGCAGCACAAATGACACACCCTGCCATCCCTCCAAACCTCTTTTGATTGAATCATGAAAACTGCTTTCACTTTTTGTCTTGACCTTGAGGGAGTTTTAGGGGAGAAGGAACAAATTCAAGCCCAGGCAATGCAGATAGAGCAGATACCCTTCAGTAAGGCAGGGCAGCTGTACCCATTTGGGATTTGCTCTAAGCTGTCAGGTTTTCTTGATGCCCACACTTGGTCCTGGGGCTCTGCTAACTGGAGACATTGAATCAGTGCAAATCCCAAACTGTCAGTTTTCCAGCCTCTGATTTGTCACTGAATAAATTCTCACCCCACAGATGGGAGGAAGGCAGTAGTAGTGCAGTCTTCAGTGTGGGCTTCTGTTAAGGCATTAATGACAGAGAGCAAACACCACATTCCTTCTGGGACTTCAGTCTGGATCCTCCAGTTTTCCATTGCTGGCTGGGTAGTGCTGATGATGTATTTTGTGTGTAGGGGAGGGTGCTGGCACCTCCCTGTCAGCCCAGCAAATATTTTTGACATGAGTTCTTGAATTCAGGAGCAGCCAACAAGAAGGCTATTAACACAGTCAAATACCTTAACCAACTGCAAGAGTGATTGTGAAATACTGGAGCGCAGGAGTCATTTCTGTGCTCTTAGTGACTTCCTTTATGTTGGACCAACGTTTGCTGCCTTTGGATTTTTATCTCAATTCTGGTTTTAAAGACAGAGTGTCAGCAGTTACCTGTTCAGTCTGCTTCCTTGAGCTGTTGCCCTGCCTCAAAATCAAACCTGTTTTTCCCCCTCCCTCCCAACCTGGGGATTTCTTCAAAACTGGCTATGCTCATTGCATCTCCTCACATCCCCTTTTCTAGGCTGCTACAGCTTATTCCCTTACATCTTTTCAGAGCCTTTCCCTGTCAGAAGCGCTCCAACATGAGCTTTTCTCTCTTAAAAGAAAGCCTATTCATTGTACCCCAGTGTTTTACAAGAGAAGTGAAATGAGACACAACAGACACTTGTGAGCTGGCATCCCTCACAAGGGCTTTTTCTTAGATTGAATGTCATCTAAAAATAACCTTTTTTTAGCAGTCTTGCCTGGTCTGGAATGTGTTGTTCCACCAAAATAAGTATCTAAAGAGTATTTAATGAAATGTTGTAAATTTAAAGTAGCATTTTCTTTAAAATATGCATATTTTTGTGGTCACCCGATCCAGGCAGTGTTAGAACTGTGCTTCTGGTTTGTTCAGTGTGATGCAGAAATGTTGTCTTTTGGGGAGATGCTCACTATTTGATTTACTTTTGTATGAAGTGGAAATGAGCAGTTGCAAATGAACACTGCGAAGCTTGAAACTGCTGACAGAAACCAGGGCAGGTCTTTGTATGTGAAAACACAGCTCTGGGGACAGAGGGTTTAGTTAGGGTGCTGCTGGGTTCCTGTACTGATATGGTAGATGATCAAGATCGTTTCAAATGTACTACAGCTTTTATTATTTCTCGTCTTATTTTGTGATTAATTGGTGCTGGAGCTGAGTGAGGGATTTGGTACCGCTGTGATTTAAGGAATTGAAATTGAGAAGTGTTTTTCTCTAGGGTAGAGTGTAATTGAAACTCTTCTCTTACACCTTTGTTGCTTTTTTATTGTGGGAGAGATGTAAAAGAGAAGTTTCAGTCATTCAGTATGCATATTAAGTGCTAAAGACCTTTTGTATTAGGACAAGCTTGGGATGGCTGCAAGCCAGTGTTCATACAGTAGTAGGTGCAGGGTATGATTTGTTGCTTTAACAGTCATTTAAATTGCTTTTCAGATATTCCTAAATGCACTCAGAAGCTAAGGGAAGATGTATGCCAATAGATTGTCTGCTTCCAGCTCCACACTGGAATGGCAGTCAGGCAACTGAGTCTTGGGTTTAATCACAGTTTGCTCAAACAGCACTTTACTGTTTGCTGCTGTATTTAAATAAAGCCTCTTTGGGGAAGCTCCCCTGTGATCTCTGAAGTGAGATGGTGACTTTAAGAGACTCTGAAATTCCCTTGCAAAGAACATCTACAGATATTAATTAGCCTAATGGTTGATTGAAAAAAAGGGAGGAGAAGGACTACCAGAGTATTTGGAGGAGTTAGAGACTGCCTTTTTACGTGCTCTTTGCAAGGTTAAATAGATACTCAAGCACATAGTAGCTGTTCTTGAAACTGGTTGAATGTCAGCTGTTGTCCTCAGAGGTTGAACCTGATCTAATGAAGCTGTTAAACACGGGAACTGCTCTGAGGAGCAGAGTATTCTCACATGCTCCATGGTTTTCTTGGCTCGGGGCTCATGATTATTTATGTTGTCCCATGATATTCCTTTGAAAGGTGAGAAAGGTTGGCGATACTGTTTCTGGCAATGTCTTCATTTTTTTAGCAGTGGAGAAAACGTGGATCTGAATTCTTTTCACTTGGATTCTCCCTGTTTGACATCCACCCAGAAAGGAGACAGGCCTCAAAGATGTGAGAAATTCTGTGATGAGGAATTCACTCTGGAGATCAATAGCTTTTCAGTGACTGAGCCAACAAACAGATGCTGCACCGCCACCGTGGACCGAGTCAGTATTTTATTGCAGAACATGCTTCCATGATTGTAAGGGGAATTGTGATGGTAGGAAAGCAGTTGTCTGCCAGTGGGGCAGAACTAGGGTCTGGAATGATGGGACATGAGGCTTAAAGCAATGGTGGTAAAATACTTCATCAAAATAATTCCTTTTTGTCTCTACCTTGGACAGCATAAGTGTAAGGAGTTCAAACCAATATTATAGATACTGTTTTATAGATACATCTAATTTATAAATTACAGATATATCTATATATAGAGAGAGATACAACCTTTTGAAATGCAAGGCTTTAGGATAACAAATGCTGGCTAACTGGAAATTCCATTAAAGCACGATACCTGAGTATGCTTGGATACAGTTATTTCAGGTTATTGGACACTGGGTTTTTGTCTTGCCTGGTTTTCCCCTTTCTCACTGAAGTATTGCTGTTGTGTGCACTGTGTGCACATGCATGTGAAGATCTGTTAAAAGCTGATACCAGGAAAGACCTTTGTGTCTATTACAAATAACACTACTTAGAGTCTGGAGCAGTGTAATGTAGTAGCATTACACTGGAGCAGTGTAATATAGTAGTATTTTGAACGGAGACATTTCAAAATGAACGTGATGATTCTTGGTGGGTTATAATCCTTTGACATATTCCAAAATGACCATTTCATAACTTTGGCTCCCTTTCTGTCTCCTCCAGGACACCAGTTCTCCCATAAGTAAGCTGCAGCATGCGCTGGCTGAGTCTCGACAGATGGTTGCTGATCTGGAGCTTAGCACTCTCCTCCAGGCGAGCCCTCGCTGCAGTCCAAACAGCAGCAACATTAACACGGTATAGATTGCTCTCCCATGACTAGATTTAGGTGGTCATTAATAGGGATTGGGAACACCCTTTCCCTTGCACTACAGTGCTATGAATATCCTCCTCATGCTTTGCTGAAGGTAAAATTCCTGCATGCCTTAGCGTGAAGTACTTGAATTTTATATAGGATTCTTTATGGCTCCTCAGGGCCATGACAGGATTTGATTTTTGCCTGTGTCTAAACAGATGGAAAGAAGAAGTTGTTTTGGAGCAAGCTGTAGGAGGGACATTCAGAACTGGTTTATTACATGAGGCATATTTGTGGAAAGGAGGACAGTACAGGAAATAAGTGACATAGAGGATAGTTTTGTGTGTGACTTTAAACCAGGCTCCTAGCTTAAATAACTTTAGAGTTTTTGTGGGCTTCATTGCAGGGTCAGAGAACATACTCGATAGTCAAAGAAAATAACCTGTACATAGCTGTCAGGGCAGTTTATTTTATGAGCATGAACGCTGATCAGAAGTTAATCTTGAATATGTGGGCAATAATAGGAATAATTGCAGGAGGGGGTCACTTGTTTGTTTTCACATATATCCTTAAGGATTTCTATCTTGTTTGATGAGGAGATTGTGTCACTTGTCACTAAAAAAGACAACATGCGCTGATAAATATCACCAAGGAGAAATTAGGTTTTTGGTGTTAAAGCAGACTCAATGAGAAGCTGTATGCTGACATCTCAGCTTTCTCCTGAAAGATAATGACATCTCTCTAAAAAAGTTGCACCCCTTTTATCCTTAGATGACCTTGACCAGAACAATGTTGCTGTAAGTAACAAGACAAAGTGATTTTTATAACATTCAGAACCACAAAACCTTAGCTGTGCTGGGACTGACCGACAGAGTCTAAAGGTTGTGTGCCAGCGTTTGCATAAGCTGAAAGGATATTTTGTTCAGAACTTCATCTGCGGGGTTTCATTCAGCGTGAGAGACAGCAGCAGTGTAGTCGTTTGCAAAGGCTGTCGTGTAGGAGGGATTCCTGAAAAGCTCTCTCCAGAACAGTGGCTGCTTGTGGCTCCTGCCCAGCCCCATCAGCTGTCTGGCTCCTGCTTTCCTGGTTGGCACATCACAGCTCAGCTAAACGGGCTGTCCTTTGGTAGTGAGCATGACTCTGCTTTACAACCTGATACTGCATTTTTGAGCCTGAAATCGGCTCCTCATTCGGGGTGGTTGCTGTAGTGGATAGAAAATGAAGCAGGCTCGTGTTTACTGCTGGGGGCAGCTTCTGCACCACATCTGTACAACTTTGATCTACTTTCGGAGTGGTTCTGGGGAAAGACCTGTCAAGCGTGTTTTTAATTCCTCTGCGCAGGCCATATAACCTGTGCTTAAAGCCAGGTTTACCTGAGGCTGTTTTAAACTGTGCTTTAAGACATGTATCAAATATAACCCTTAGGATTTAATCAGTAAGAATTTGTACGTGTTGGATTCTTTGCCCTGCTTGGAGGAGGGAGAAGAGGGAATTAACAAGTGTATCCTTGCTGCTCCCCAGTTTGAACCTGGCAGCTCTGTGTTTTGTGTTACCTGAGTTCTTTGGTTTCCATGTAGTGTTTTTGCTTTACAATGTAGACAACAGAAGTTGCAGAAGGTCTTCACAGAACCCAGTTATCTGCTGCAGAAGAAAGAGGTGCTGACCTCCCATTCTTTTCTCTATGATGTTCTGTAAGTATGAAGGTATTTTCATCTTGATCTTCTTAATTGGAGTTTTCTGTTCCTCTTTATAAATGCACCTGCAATATTAATATAAGTTACGGACTTCTGAGATGAGCCTGGCACAAGATTCTCAGTGGACTGCTAAATGCATTTCAAATAAAACTCCTGTGAGTTAACAGCGAACAGATAGTAAGGCAACGAGTAATCCCTTTAGTCAAATCAACTTTTCTCAATCACTTTCCTCATCCTCTGGGCAGTCAGACCTTGCAGCATAATTCCTGAGTACCTACACACTGCTTATTGTAGTTAAAAATCCTTCTGTGTGTTACAGATAACAGGATCAAGGATGTGAACATTGTTGAAGGAGAGACTGGGAAGTGTTTTTCAGTGCCACGGCCAAGGGCTGTTTTAGCATATTGTTCCTGGGCTCAGAGCTCCAGAAGCAGAATGTGTTGAATAGAGCTGCATACAAAAAGCAGCCTTGCCCATAGCTGATTGTTTTTTCTTCTTGAATCAGGAAATTTCTCACTCTCTGATTATTTGTTTTACTGATTTGAATTGGATCCTTGCAGTAGGCACCGTGTTGTCTGGTTCTGAGGACAAATGAGTAACCAGATACGGGTAAAATACTGAACACCACGTGAAAATGAATAAGAACTAGCAACAATGGGGAGAAAATGGACAAAACAGAAGTCTTCCAATGCTGACACAACCGAAGCCAAGGGGAGTTACTGCACAACAAGCTGAGTATGCAGCTCTGTGGCACTGAATTTCTTACACTGATCACCTTTAATCCCATGGAGAGCTGGTGCTCAGTTCTCTCTTGGTACACTCAAAGTGCAGTCCCTGAGCTGTCTCTCTCCTATGGAGCCAAACCCTCTGTGTGCTGGCTTGTAGCACCCTCATGTTCTGCTGTTGCTGCATTAAGTCTGGAGACACTGAGTCTTCTTCCAAAATGAGTTGGGTCTGCTTAGTGCACGCTAATGGGGCTCTTGTGGGAAATGGATGCTGAGTAGCTGGAATGCTGTACCTTACTCTGCACGATGTTCCTATGTGGAGAGCTCTTCCTTTCCTGAAAAGAGCCCTCAGGTAAAAGAAGATGGAGGTTTTATGGATGCAGGCCAGCACTGTGACTTGCATCCTGAAACTACTGCTGTTGGAAAGTTGCAGGAGCAAATCCTCCAAACTGCTGAGGCAGCAGAGGGGGAGCAGACGCTGAGCCTACAGAAATGAGTTCATTTGCCTCAAGTGAGAGAGGTTTGGTGCAACAAACGGACCCACAATTTGCTGTGGAGCCACGACAAGAAGTAGTGACTCTGCAGGTCACTGGCTGCTGCATAATTCTGGTTTCCTCCTTTTGTTAAAAGGCACTGGATCACTGTGATCGGTTTGGTCCAAAGCAGCTTTTAGAGTTGATAGCAGGTCCAGAAATAACTAAATATTTGGCCATTTCACATAGGGAAATGATTGAATTGATGTGCACTGGGTTTGGGGGTGGTTTTTAATTGCTTTGCAATCATCTGAGTGCAGGTGCACTGACACTGGGTTCATTTCCTGACTCGCTGGCGGTGATTTGGCCGTTTCCATCTTTCCTTTAGGGAGAGAGTGTTTTGGGGAGAGTTGAACAACAAAGCAGTGAGTGAAAGGGGGCATTCAGTTTTGGACAAGGTCGTGAGTGCCACTGCTCAGGGGTGGTGACGCAGTGGTTGACTGAGGGCACAAAGATTGATCCCTCTGCAAAACAAATGGGAAAGGTTTCTATTTCCCAACACTGCAGCAGTGTCCCAAGACCGCTGTCATGAAATGCTTTGGTTACCTTTCTTCCTCTTTAAATGTGTACACTGGTTTTAGGTTGCTTACAGCATGAAATTCTCTAGAGTAAATTGACAGACACGTGAACACTTCTTCTATTTTAAAGGAAATGTTCCTGCAACTTAACAAAAACCTTCCATTTTCTGCAGCAGGTGAAGACCTTTCCAACACGGAATTAACCTGGAGACCTGAAGATCACCAACCCATCAGCTATGATGGAAAGTTACCTCATTATTTTTCCATGCTTCTTTGGAGTGAAAGCCTCACAAAGAGATGTGGGGATATGTTTTATCTTGAAATAAAACACAGACTAACGCCAAGCTCAACAGAACTATTTTTATAGCTGGGAGCTCAGGTTAAACACTGGCTTGGGTTTGAAGACTCTCAAGTGCGTAATTGTTACAACACAGGAACTATTTTTCTTACTCTTTTTTTTATGGTGGCTCAGAAATATTTATAGCGTATGACACAGCCAAATGTTCCTTTTTTTTATAGCTGATTGTTTTAGCTCTGGACTTGTGGCCATGTAGAGGGAGATGAATAATGTTTATAGGAAGTTCCCAATTATGCTGTAGCCAGGAACTGCTCCTGCGTGGTTGGAACAGGACAGTTGTCACCCATGAGACGGGCACAGCACCGCTTCCACCGGGCACTGCTTGTTCTGCCAGAAGCTTGTGACAAGATGAGGTGTGTCCAGTGTGGTGGGACTGGGGTTTTAGCTTTAAACTGGTTTTTAATCCTTGGCTATTGGGCAAGATGTATTCCCTTACCACAATATGAACTTGTTTTTTAACTAAAAGATCAAATAAGCCAATAGAGGTGAACCTTTGCTGTATCTTTCTTGCCTGTTTAGCATGCTGACACATTTAGTAATTCATTTATGGTGGTTCTTTGGGATGTACAACACCAACTGCTGAAGACATGAGCTGGGTGGACCAGCTCTGTCCCAGCGTGGAGGCAGCGAAGGGGTGGGAGTTTCTGGCTCTGTCTTAAGCCAGGAGTTAATTGCAGCAAAATCCACTGCGGTTTCCCCTTGTTAACTCTTTCCTGTAATTTTCTGCTCTCTTTTTAATGACCCAAATGCCAGGTAATGTGCTCATGGCCTCAAAATTGGTCAACTAATTCTGATCACAGCTTCATCCTCCCTGTCCCTCACCACCCGCGGGCATTACCCACAAAGGGAGTCTCAGCTTTTCTTTGAGTTTCCACATGCATTTTAAGTGCATTTGATTCCTTTTCCTAAGAGAAGCTTTCCAGGTTCCATCCTCAAATCCTCTGCTGTGGGTAGGACAAAACCCCCCCTCAAAAAGCTGATGCTGGCAATGCCATGATGCTGATCCCAAAGCTGCCCCACAGCTGTACCATATGCCAGCTCCTGGAGAAACTGGTGCAACTTCCCAGCAGGAGCTGGTTTAAATGTGTCGAGCGTCAACGAGTGAATGCAATGAACAACCTGTGCGTTTCAAATGGCAGCTGTAAAGTCATACAGAAAACCAAGCTGAAGCGATGCGACGAGGACCATTGGAGCTGCAGGGTTGTGCGTTGGGGCTGCCCTCGGTTTGTGCAATGGGGGTTATCGGGGGATAACTGATTCAGGTACAAACCAATCGTGTTCGCTACGGCTCGGGCCGCCTCAAACTCTGCTGCCGTGTTTCTGGAAGCCTTGCGGATACTCCCGGCAGTGCCTTTGCTATTGTGTTTTCACACTGAATTACTAAAGAAAGCAAAGCTGCCGCCGGGCTCCAGCCCTGCCGCAGGGTCTCTGCCCCCGCTGCTGCGTGGCTTTCCCAACGGGGGAGCGCTGACGGGCGGGTACCGACCCTCCTGGACGTGTCTGGGGCGGGATGAGGGGGGGCCCCTCCGCGCTACGAGGAGCGGGACGCGGCGGCGGAGCGGGTGGAGCCATCACCCCGCGGCCCCTTCCCCGGGGCTCCGGGTCCCGGCTCGGGGGTGCGGGCAGGGCTCCACCTGCCGCGGGTGGGTGGGGCCTGGCGCGGCCGCTAGGGGCGCCCTTGTGCCCGGGCGCGGAGCTGCTCGGCGCAGTGCGCGGCCGGGAGGAGCCGGCGGGGCCGGGCGCTGCTTGCCCGGAGCGCGGTTCCCGGTGCTCGGTACCCGGTGCCCGGAGCGCGGCCGCCATGAACAGCATCAAGAGCGTGCCGGCGAGGGTGCTGAGCCGCCGCGGCGGGCACAGCCTGGAGGCGGAGCGGGAGCAGTTCGACAAGAACCAGGCAAGGGCGGCGGAAGGGGGTGAGGGTGCTTCGGTACCGGCTCCGGTACCGGTCCCTACCTGGGGTGGGAGTGGTGGGGACCGACCCCTCCGCGGGGCATCCCCTGAACGCGGGGCCTTGGGGGGAAGCTGGGTCCAGGGACCCCCCAGTGGGGCGGCGCGGCCGCTGTTTGTCCGTCCCTCCGCCCGCCCGTCCGTCCGTCCCCGCTACCGGTGCGGCGCACGCTCTCCCGCCCCCACCTGCCCCATCGCTTCCTCCCTCCGTGGTCCCGGCCCGGTCCCGCGTGGGTACCGGCCCGTCCCGCTGCCCCTGGGCCGGGCACTGGGGCCGGGTCCCGTCGCCCCGGCGGGCAGCAGAGCCCCGAGCGGGCGGTGTGTGTGTGTGTGTGTGTGTGTGTGTGTGTGTGTGTGTGTGTGTGTGTGTGTGTGTGTGTGTGCCCCCCCCGCCCCGCACCCTCGCGGCCTTATCGCAGGTAAACGCGGCCATGAGCAAACACGGGAAGTTTTATGGCTCCGGCGGGGGCGCGGCTGAGCCCGGTCCCGTCCCCCCCCCCCGCACCGCTAACGGCATCTCTGCATCCCCTCAGTGCCCCTCGGCCCCGGGCAGGGGCTGCCCAGCAGCACCGGGGGTTGTTTTATACCGGGTCTGGGCCACGCGTGGAGTGGCCCTTGGGGACCGGGATGTCCGGTCCCAGGGAGGTGCCCATCGCCCTTCCCACAGCCCCCATGGGGTGAGTGATGCTCAGGGTACCAACAGGGCTGTCATCCAGCTTGTGGGATGTTATTACCCTAACGGCATGGGCAGGGATGGACAGAGGGACGGGCTCACCAGCTGCCCCAGCAAAAACCATAGTGCCCTCTCAGCATGCATCCCCAGGCCACTCTTGGTTTGCAGGCTGTGCTTGCATAGCAGGGATCTCTCCCCTTTGCCTTCCTGGTCCTTCCCTGGGCTGGTTTGTACCTGGAGAGCACCAGTGAAGGTGTCACAGTCCCCGGGGTCACGGTGCTGCTCGGGCGCGCAGGGTAGGAAACGAATCCTGTCGGGTTTGGGGAGCAACACGAGGAAACCGGCAATTCCGGTTCCTTCTGGACACGTCTCCTTCAGCCGTCCCACCGGGCACCGCTGATAAAGAACCGCGGTGGCAGCGCTGCCTCTGGTGCCGAAGGGCAGCCTGTGCCGGCGGGGCCGGAGCGTGTCCCTCCTCCCTCTGCCCTTCCATGGCTTTCCGGGCTTGGTGGTGGGATGTGTGTCCTGCGCGGGAGCTCACGGTCACAGGGATACCATGAGCAGAGCCGTGTGCAGGGCGAGGGGGTGGCTGTGCTCCATTGGATCTGAACCACGGGTTCGCTGGCTGGTGGTCACATTCACCACCCAAAACTGATCCATTGGATCTAAACCAGGGGCCCGCTGACTGATGAGCACGTTCACCACCCCTAAAACTGCTTGAAAACAGTCCTAAAGGAGTGTTATCCTAATGTTTCCTGTAGTAATGCTTCCTGTGACAGCAAAACTCTTCCAATGTCAGTATGTGGGTATTGATTTGCCTTTTATGTCTAATTATAGCAGCTGTGGAGATGGCCGCTGGTCGCCTTTGTATGATGAGGACACCAGTGCCCTGTCCCCTCCATGTGCCTTCACTGGAGCACGATGCTGCCAAAACCAGGAGCCCCATCTCGTTTCCCCAGCAAAGGCCAGGGTGATGCCCGCTGGTGCAGGCAGGGGTTGTGTGATCCTGGGTGCTGTGAAGGTCACCAGCTGCCCTTAAAATGCTTTTTGAGGTGTTGTGATGCTGGCATCCCCCTTGGAGCGGCTGCTGTGGGAGGTGGGAAGCTGCTGTCCTGCAGCAGGAAGCAAAACTTGCCCTTTTCTGTAGCCAATTCCTGCTTTTCTTAAGCAAGGAGGTGAAAACTCCAGTGAGCTCCAGGAATACCGTGTGTGTGACTGCCCAGTGGTGTGGTTTGGGAAGGAGAAGCATTCGGAAGGGAACTCCGGAGCTGCTGTTTGCAGTTCAGCTGACCCAGCAGCCCTCGCACCGCCTCGCCGGGGAGGTTTCCAGCTCCATGTCCTGCTCCCAAAGCACTGTGCCAGGACCCGGCATTCCCCTCCCGGGATTGTGTTCCTGCGGGATGCCAGGGCCCTGGGGAGCTGTGGGTGGGGAGGATCACGCCGTAATTAAAAGCAGCCTGGAAAGAAAGGGTGGATGTAAACCCTGCTCCTTCATTTGGGCGCTTTGATCCCGGCTTTAGTCACCAGCTTGGTACGTGAGGGCTGTGAGTAAGGCGTTGGGGCTGCTCCCGTGGGCACCGCGGCCCGTGGATGGGCAGGTTTTGGGGTTGGACCCCCTCCCGCATGAAAGTCTTGGCAGTGCTGATTGTGTGCCTGCTGTGACAGCCAGGACCTGCCCACCCCCAGATGTGCTGCTGATGTGTGGGTCAGAGTCAATGTCCCTGTCTCAGAGCCATCCACAGCCCAGCTTCATCAAGCAGCCGGTAGGGACATGCATGTCCCAGGCTGCAGCATCACCCCATGCCCATCCCTGGTCCCACCGTTACCTCTTCACGGACGTTCTGGCCACCCTGGGATTTGGGGCAGTGGCCCCAAGGGATTGGCATTGGTTTGGTGGCACCATGGTGTATTTGGGACCATGCTAAGTCTGTGTCATGGCAGTGCTGTGGGTGGGATAGGGGCTGCCCCTGCACTTGTGCTGGATGTAAAATGGCCCTGTAGAAACCTCTGTGCTGAATCACCAAGGTGAAACCAGCCTCTGCAGCAGCTCCTGGGCTGGAGTTTGGTTGGTAATGACATTATGGGCCATAAATGCCATAAAACCACCAGCACCAATGGGAATTACAGCCTGGTTTGGGGATAGGACAGCTGGGTCCCAGCCCTAGTCCCATCCTACCAGGCAGTACCGGGTGGCTGAGCTCCTGTCCTAGGGATATGAGACAGCATTCCCTTTCCTGGGGATCTGGAAGCCTGGATCCCACTGATGCGTTGGGATGAGTGTGATGTGTTGGGATGAGCCCATCGTGCTGCTCCCACACAAGGCAGGCAGTGCAAGCCCAGGTTTGGGATCTGCAAACCCAGGTTTGGGATCTCAGCAAGATGCAATAACCCCTTTAGCAGCTCTTTGCCTCAAGGTGCGTCTCCAAGCCCTGCCTTGCAAAGCCATCATCTTGTCACTGTCTGGTGCGTGATGAGCTTTGCCTTCTGTCAGTAAAGCATCGCTTTGGTTGCACTGGGAGATGCTGGCAGCCCCCAGGACCCCAGGCGCATCTCCTCTCTGCCCAAGGATCAAGGATGCAGCCTCCCCATCAGCTCCAGGCTTTCGGGTGGTTGTGCTGCAAGTGCCTGTTCCCGGGCGCTCCAGGCTCATTAACCTTTGGGGATAAGAGGATTACAGCAAGTCACCGGCTTAACTCCGCTGCTGCTGTACGGCCCCACATGGCAGGGTGACACCGGGGCTTCCCCGCTGCGGGAAAGGCAAATCCCGCCTCTTTTCCTGGGCTCATCGCTTTGGGACAGGCTCGCTTTTTGGGATCCATTCACTGTGGTTTCGTTGCTGTCACTCTCAGCTTGCGGGTGCCGCTGTTTTGGGCTCTTTCGGGGCTGATGCGGTGCACGGACACCTTTGGCA